TGTACACACAGGGGAGCTTTCACACCTACCATGATAGTCCTACAACGTCCTCAATCTCGCGCAGAGTCGGTTGACACTGTTGCTGAAGTTGTGCATGGGTTCTCCAGCTATAGAAACGTCAAAGCAACAATTCAGACCCTGACCTTGGCCGTTGCTGAAGCTTCCAAGGCTGAAGCCAGGGCGCCATCATCGCCTCACGGACAGATGCAAGCCATTCTCTGACCAGAAGTGGGCTTGCAAGACTTTATTGGGTACTTGGCCTACTCTACAAGTCCGTTTTTTCGTTTGAACATGACGGCGCTCCAGGCGCCCTCATTTTAGCACTTGCCGTGGCTTCCTTGCTAGCACACGATACAGCAACAGCTGCGAGGGCAAACATCTTTTTTCAGCAAGGGAGCTGGCACGAACGTCTGGACTTTGCCGGTCATCGCTCCCATCTAGATACGTTTCCTATATAATGTGGGGGTTTCCATAGATTGCGGGCCCCAATCTACTCTCAATATATGAAAATCCTTCTTTTAAGCACTTCCAGAAGAGGCCCAAAAATGTTGGAAACCTCCAGCTGCGTTTCCTATCTACTCGACATGCATCTATGACGCGAGCACATGGGGTTCAAAGCTCCTTGGCCGGTCAGGTGCCATGTGTCACTATAAGCATCCAGGCGGTGGCATCTCCAGGGACTTGTCGCAAAATCCGCCAACCTAAAACAAGGGCTGGAATTCGTGTGGTACTGATGTGCTATGTAGACTTTGACGTGTTCCTACGTGCCGGCACCTAGGCGGGCGACCCAGTAAAGTTACGAAAGGACAGAACTCCGGGCCTTATAGTTGCAGCCAGCGCGTAGGGTCCAGTGGCCCGAGCTGCAGAAGGGAAGGCAGCAAGAGCCACATGTGCAGCAGCCATCGTCCGGATGCGCCATGCAGTACAAAAAGGACATGTCCAGCAAATTGATTGTCCCTGGCTCCACATCCCCACATGATGCTGGACCGCTGATCACTGCGCTGTAGGCTGTTGAAGCCTTCCGAAACTCTCCGGGCCCACTTTGGAGCTCGCACCCTCCATCAGGCCAATACGAGAAGAATTGACATCCTTCGGTGACGCGACAATAGGACTGGCAGTGCTCCCATCGGCTCACCTCAATGCGGAAGCCTTCCATGTTTGGGAAGTGGTACATCCCAGGAGTGGTGCATTCTGTACCCACTTTCTGGTCCGGCTTCGACTTGTGCTCAAGCAGACTGCTGGCATCGCTGTCGCAAGCATCTTCGCTGGTATCTTTGGCCCTGGCAAGGGCCAACGAAAAGGTCAGCAGGAGCATAGAAAGCCCCATCCGGACGCCAGCCATGGCTTCGGCTCAGGGGCGGAACAGCCTGTCTACCGTCCACCGCAGTGCTGATCAGCGTCGGGCAGAGCAAAGAAGGGCAGAGCAAAGAAGGACGCGCTCAACTATGAAGACAATCTGCCAAATTACCACACACTGTCTGCACCTGTCGGCATTGCTACCAGGAACCCGCCCCGCCTGCTGGACCTGCGGGTGTCGGAGACGTTCCAAGGTTTGCCAAAGCTCCCTGGCTGATTGCTTGCTCTTATGGGGAGCTTGGGGCCTCAGGTCACAGCAATACAACGGGGCTTGAGGGTGGCCAATAATGTTTTATCAGGACTCCATTTCCGTGATGCATGTGGGCTGCTACAGGGATGCAACTGAGCCTCCACAGCAAGCCCTCTCCACCAATAGTGAGCCCAATACAACCCTTTCATACTCAGTATTTCAGGATTTGGGAAAGGAGCCATGTTGCTGGCTCCCTTAAAGCTTTGCGCGTGGCCTCCCAATATCCCGCACTTGCCACAGCACCCAGGGCATGGCCCAACACTGGAGCGACATCCACATCCTTGGATGTGCAAGGTGATAGGATTGTAAGGCAGGGACAAAGAACACAGAGGATATGGACCATGCTTGGGAGAAAGTGCTGGCACACCATGATCCATGAAGCAGCACCAAGCATTACTGTAGCGCCATAGGCATAATGAGATCATGTCGATTTGGCCCCGAAAAGGCACTGGTGCTAGCTTTTACCTACACTACCTCCTCTTGTCGCAGCCACAGATTCCGAGTGGTTGGGTTCTCGCTTTCGCGCCGTTGCGAAAGCCATTTCCTATGCCCAGTCAAGAATTGGAAACATGTTCTGATCATCATCCTATCACCGCGATGCCAAAAGCTGGTACAGTATGTAGCTGGTACCTGCATAACAGCATAAGCACAAGTCAAAGACGAAACAAGCCGATCAGAGCAACCAGAGATGCAGACACAGCACAGATATGAATAGTAATAATAAGAATAGTAACCCTACGAATACTAATAGTAATAATAACAATGCTAGTATGAGTTTTTTTGACGTTGACGACGCAGCAAATTTTCAAGAGCAAGACTTGTGCCAGATGGCTCCTCGTGGGAGAAGTGGTAACAGCCCAAGGGCCCGGTCATAATATTGGCAATAACCACAATAGTACTAATCATAAGTAATGGTAATAAAATGAAATAAAACATTTTTTCAAAAAAAAGTAATAAGCACTATAACAATGTAAAAGTACAATACGGATAATCATAGTCATACTTATTAAAACCAAATACTAGAAATAACAACCATCATAATAATAGTACCCCTCAGCCGAGGCACAGCCAGGGAATCTGATAAGCTGCTGGGCTCTGCCAGGCAGCTCCTTGATTGGCCACCTCCGCACTGGAGGTGTTTGGTAGGTTTGGTAGGTTTGGTATTGGGTCTTTAGAGGAAGCTTTTTTTGCGGAGATTACTGCATGCCAAGCTGTATACCCTTCGTGATGAGAATGTGATCATTGCCATGTATTGAGAAAGCCATAGACCAGCACATACTCAGAAATGCAAAGTCTTGCAAAGTGGAAGGTTTGCTGAAGACTTCATCTGTGTGGCCATGGCAGCTTGACATGTTTTTTGTCGGCGGCTCCTCCTGCTACACGGCTGAGGTGACGGAAGGCAACGTTTAGCGCTTCGGATCCGCGGCGGTGGTCGAAGTAGACCTGAAGGGGGACGGTGTTGGTGAACTCTCTCCTGGTGTTGAAGAAAGGCATTACAATCCCCAGATGCAAGCCAACCTGGCAAGTCTGTGCATTGCGATCCACCACCGATACCACGCCCAGATCTCCTCAAGGGCGTATCAAGAAAAGAAGCGAACCAAACTGCGACAGCTTGTTTGCCCGGGCACCTGCAGCGAAATCTTGAAAATGCCGGCCAGGCAGCACACAGACCTGCAAAGTTTTCGCATGCCTTCGCTCTTCGCCAGCTGTGCTCTCTGCCATTCTCAGCGTCGGCGAACCTGGTCCCCAACTATGAGGTCCATTGCAGGCAGGTTGGTTTGTCCATTCTGGCTCGCGCTTGGCATCGGAGATGGATGTCGTAAGATGAGCCGATGCCCTCTGCGGCGTAGGAGCATTCACAACAAAGACACAAAGCAAAATCTGGCAACCTAGCATCTTCAGTTTGCAGTAGGAGGTCCACCTGCTACTCAGAACAAGTGTCAAAGTGGAATGCGGCATGGACGTAATTCGTCGTTTTCAGACTCAAGTATGTTCATTGCTACGTGCACCCACGTCTCTATCAAGCTTATTCAAGTCTACAGTGAACTGGGAGCCGGGCCCCCTCATGCTGGAAGAGTAGAGCTGGGCCTGTCTCTGGCGCATCTGGCACCTTCACGCCCAAGGTCTCAACCTGGGCACAAGATTGGCTTCTTCAACAACACAGGCTCTTTTCTGTGGTAAGTTGGGCTGCCATGAACAACAAATTCTCTTGGAATACTTGGTAACTAAACCCCAAAGTGCCTCCGTACAACTTGAGACTCACGACCTGTTGCCTGAGATGTCTCTGGGTTGCTCATCTGAAGACTGATGCCGTTATGCAGGCGCGCGACGCTGGCCCAAATCTCTGCAAAGAGGCAACCTCGAAGCAGCTGCGTAACTTGTGTGAAGTTTGCATGCTAGCAAAGCTGCTGAGTTAAACTTCTAGGCGCATTGCTTGGTCCGACTCTTTGTAAAAAAGCTGCCAAGCTTTCATCCTTGGCTTGCCAGACTTGCGGGAAGCTTAGCTGGGAGTTTAGGGTGTCAAGTGACAAACCTTATTCGTGATGGACTGCCTGGGCCGTCACAAAAACACCTCGCGTGCTCACTCACTCGAACAACAACTCACTTGCAGCCTTGTCTTCACGCAGAATTACTATTCTTGTCATAACCGATGTCACCGTTGGTGGGCTTTACAAAAGCAGAAGCAAAAGCTAAGGCGCTGAGTCCAGGATCAAGGGTCGCCGAACCAAGCGGTCACCTGCCGAACAGGAAGCCGTACAGAGTGCGTCTACTGCTGTGTTATTTTGATCTTGTACCTGATCAAAAAGCCTAGGCAAATTGCTTTCTCAGGACCCTCCAGCATCACCTTGTCTTCAGAAAGCCTCAACACTTCAAGCGAAACCAGGCATTGACGATAGGTCACAGTAGGCTGCATACAACTTCCACACTTGCAATTTGTCTGGGCTTGCAATCCTGCACCACCCAGGTCCCGATTCTCCCTGCTGCACTTCCTCTTGGAAGGCACGAGTGCAGCAGTTGCCCGGGCATTCAAAAACCAAGTGCGCAGAAAGAAGCGGTAAGCACAACAATAAGCGACTGCAGTGACAACGCGAATGACTGAGCCCAAGATAACAGCGAAATTTGCCCCTGCTTTGCCAAGGCCTTGCGAGGGCACCTCACAACGCAGGCGGAGCCACCTGGGCGCCCTGGCAGCTCCACGACTTGGCTGAGCTAGTTCAGTTTTGCTACTTCTTTTTAGACACGCGCATCGCACAGCAGTGCAGGCACCACAGTGAATGTCCTGTCCGGTCTCTCCCTGCGTTCAGGGCCCTATAGGAGGGAGCTTTCCGCTTCGCATGCCACCTCCCTGTACATCAGCAGCTGTTCAGAACGTCTAGTCAGCAAAGCACTCAGCGTCACGGACCACCGACCTAAACGCAACCCGCCTACACTGACAGCAGACATGCAGATATGACGATCACCAATACGAATACAGTCTCACGTAGCAGCGCTCTACCCGCGCACATTCAGAAGGTCATGCAGTTGGCGCCGTTTTGCCATATTCCGCCAAATTCTCCCACCAACACGCACCCGGTGCCAAAGTCGCGCGAACTCACTAATTGAGATGTCCACTCAGTGATGTCCATGCAGTGGTTGTCCAAGCGCGCGCTCACGCGCTCAGTCACCCACGCATCCATACACGCAGTGCCATACATGCAGTTTTCCAGCGATCATGCCTGCCAGAAAGGCATGAGCCCGGCAGCTGTCAGCGTCACAGTCATAGCATGCGATTTGCGATGTACAGGTTCAACGTCATTCACGCAGCTGGGGCATGAGGAAAACGCACCTATCGTCTTTCAGCAGCCATTTATCCGCGTCGCTTCGCAAGCAGATTCGAAGCTGTTCACCCAGCGGTTCGGCCAGCTTCTGTTCAACAGTGGAGACATGGTCATTGAAGAGGACTTGGCGCCGAGTGTGATTAACCTGTGCTGTCCACAGCATCCCTTGCTCCTCATGGCATGCTTTGGCACGCACTGTTGCTGAAGCAGCTCTCCAGCTTGGTCCTGTAGAAAAGTCGGAACTGTGAAAGGCCGTGAGACTCCCTAGTTACCCTAGTTGTTCACTCGTTACGTGGACGCTTCCTCCCAGACATGCTGGCTTTCCAAGCGATAAGGGCCTTCGGAATCGGCTTCTCCTTCCGCATCACTTTGGTGCGAAGTGTCTTCAGTGCCGAGTCCTTGTCAAAATCGGCCTCCATGTCCTTGCATGCGCCGTCTTGGACTGCATCGCTAGAAATCACATACACCTCATTCGCGGCCATGCGGACCACAACATAGGACCCTTTCGTCAGCTCCACATCTTTGCCCCACGCCGTGCGGATGCTCAGTTCTTCATCTTGTTTCAGGCGGACCTCCGGGATGAGCTCCAGATGCTCGAGGAGCCAAGACCTGACCAGGGCGGAGAAGTGAATGTCGTTGACCTGCTCGGTCGCGGAAAGGCGGTTCCAAGGAACGCAGGTGCGCTGGGGATACCTAGTATCCAGCTCTTGTGCACCGCGTAGGCCACCGCGAAGTCTGTCGCACCCTCGAGCAAAGGGCAGCAGCGCTGTCTGCAGTCAATCTAGGGAGTTTGCACGAGAAATGAGGGCTGGTCTGCTGCCTTCTGATATGCCATGAAATCTATCGCGCCCTCCGTGTTCTCTTCCGCATTTGTCCAGGCTCCATCACGGAACACCTTGAACTTTGAAAGGATGCCCTGGCGACGACTCGCCTTCTTCCAGAGTACAGACTGAGCCTGGATGCACTCGTGGGTGCAAGTCTCAAGCCGGATGGACATCTTTTCGCGGTAAGAGGTAAGGGACTGAAACCTTTTTCGAGCCAGAAACACGCTACTTGTAGCCATTTTCTACTTCAGTTTAGGGTTTAGGGTTGAGGGCTTGAGTAAGCGAGGCTTCTTCCATACTGTTTTGCTTGCAAGCAACGCCCACAGAGCCCCTTTGCCGAACAGGTCCTTTCACAAGTTCACAGTCACGCATGCTGCGCGCAACAGGCAGCTCTGGTGTAATCATAGTCCCCAAACCTCTGTTGAAAGCGGCATGCATGAGCCAGCTATGAGATTTTCATACGAGAGTCTGGGAGAAAAAGAAGGGCGCGGTTAGGAGCTTGCAAGCCTTGTCATGTCAGCTGTTCTTATTTCCATTGCCCAGAACATATTGAGAGGATCCTGGAGCCAGAACATCATTAAAGCCTCCCAGCTCCAAACAAACACACTGCAGCGAAAGAGTTGGAAGAACGAGGACCACCATCGATGAACTGAGTTGTGAGCTGGCTTCCTGCCAAGACCTGAGCCCAGTGAGCAGTGCTCCATGCTTCATTGGCAGAATGCGTGCACGGTTCGAATGCTTGATGAAGGACTGGCTGTTCGCAAAAGCAGCCGCTCAATTTTCTCTGGACTTGCGGCTTCATTGCAACTCATATCGACGTGGGCAATGATTTGAGCGCTCTCGGAGGGACCCCAGACACACCTTCTTGACTGTGGTCCCATTAAACAGCGACTGCTTCCTGGATAACTCCAGAGGTAGACTGAGTGGGGGGTCCCTCCCAAAATTCCTTGAATGATGGAAGGAACTGTTTGGTAGGCCTGCATGGCCACAACAGCCATAACATATTCAGTTCGGCGCTGACTTCGTCAGAGCCCCAGGCCTTCTGCGGCTGTCATCTGTCAAAACTGGGGGCTAGTGTCGACGCACACTGCAAACAAGTTTCTCAGAGGTTTGAACCACGGTTATGCCACAAAACCACGGTTTCTGCTCAGCCGTCAGACGCCTCTCTCCAAGATAAGGGTATGTGTCGAAATACGAACGGAGTCCTAGTTCGGCCATTCCACGAGATGAAAGAACACCACGATTTCGACACAGCCCTGCAAGGCATGAGGTTGCCAAGCAGCTCCAGGCTGCTTGGCAACCAGGACCGCTGGTTTGCACAGGAAGGGGTTGCAGAGGCCACGCTCTGTTCCGAGGTCCTTGTCGACATGCTAACCATCCTGTCAAGGTAGCACGATGCCAACATCACATCATCTGCTATGTGAGCCGAGGCAAACCACAGAGATCATGCTACTGGTCTTGTGACTACTCCTTTGACCCCATCAAGGCACAGTCTGCCCATAAGGCAGTCTTACTCTGAGACCAATCAACCATGGAAGAAGGATGCTACGGATATCTCCACCAAAGGGCCGGGCCCTCAAACATAGCCCAAGACCGTCTAACCCTTCTCATGGGACCCACTAATTTGCAGAAGCCCTCATAGTGTAGTCACACGATGTTTGTTTCTGGTGGCCATCTTACCTGGGCCCGGCGCTTTGCCAGGGCTCAGGTCGCAACCCGGGTAATGCTGGAGGCCGCTTTGTTGTAGAGGTATGTAGTTATCAATATTAGAAGTCTCAAGGTAGTTCTTCTAGGCAGCACATTGAAACACGAAGCTTGATCAGTACTATGGGGCTAATATATCTATAATATACTACGCAACTTAAATTAAGCTCCTTCTGCTGCCGCAACTGCTAGAAGCGCTGAAGCGCTCTCGCCCCACCCAAAATGAAACCCAAAATCAAGTTACCATAATGGGTATATCTATACATATATATATATACAATTAATATGGTTTCCCCAATGAACAGAAGCATTGAAATGATGATGCACAAGTTGAGTCTTTACGGTTGACAGGTTGACTCCTTCGCCCGGTTATTTAAACCTCACAGTCTCGTGGTACAGGCTACGGGCGGCCTCCAAGAATGGACTTCCTACCACGCATCTGCCAAACGCGGCAGATGCTATGCTGACGATATCCAAGCTCCTTGTCTGTCTGCTCAGCCCGTCTTCCTTATTGTTTGGAGAGGGCTGTCTACTGACGACTGAGGACGTTCAAGGTGCCACGGGAAGAAAAGAAGAGAGTGCGCAACGTGCACGCTCAATCGGCTCAGTTGCCATCAAGGCTTCCGAGATGCAGCGGCGGGTGCGCTAAAAAAGGACCACTTCCTCTTCCAAAAGCAGTTACTCGATATTACCCGAAGCTCGCTTGTTTTACACGCCCTCAAAGGCGCAAGGTGAAGCCCTTCCAAAAATCCTACGGATCCTACTACTTGTAGTATGGCCCTGACCTTGAAGAGGAAGCTTTAGCAATTCAGAGGGCAAGCATGGCAAGCGCTTCAGAGTCATGACTTTGCCAGTCCTCTCGAGGCAGACACCTTGGCACAATGGAGCAGAAGCAAGGTCAGCTTCTGTCCTTGACATGATGATGTCGGCATGTTTGAAATCAAAATTCTGATCTGTGCCGTCCCTATGATGAGGAGCTGAACTCATGTCCCAACCCCGTGTGCGCCAACGCTGGCTGCCGCTGGCTGCAACTTGGGCATTGGACGCTCTAGCGGGGAGGCCGAGCAGTTTGGCTTCCGTCTGCAGGAGGTGGAGGGTTGGACCTCGGACGAAGTACCCACACTTGCACATGCGCATGCTGGTTGGGAGACCTGCATGAGAGCAACTACCGTACATCTGAGTACGCACAAGCACTGTACGTAACATACGCTTAAAGGTCCGCGGCCGGGAGGCTCCTTCATAGAGAGTGCCAACTGCAGGGGCTGCTGCTGGCGTCGCTCCACGACTTCCTGACTGCTACTGAATAGGCGAATAGGGAAAGCGGAAGCACATTCTTCAAACAACAATAGCGCAAATCACATGATGATCTCGCTGTGTGTGCGGGGCCATCTCTGCAGTTCCCCCTAAAACTTGTTGAAGTCCTTCCACAGCTCGCGCTCGTGCTTGACGCGCTCCTGGTGTAGTCACAGTGGCTCACAGTATGCGTGCGTGTACGTACATCTGTACATGTAGATATATGAAGGGGAGAGGGCTGATCAAACCCCCTTTGCCACGTTGCTTCACAAGACAGCAATCATCACTTGATCACGGAAACTCTTCCAGGTGAATCTGTTGTTTGACCACCCTGCCATTTCGACCACTTCATCCGCTAAGTCCGAGGAGGCTACAATCGAGAAACAACAGGCTGCAAGTCTGAATGCTTCATCTGTAAACCAACCTGTGCACAGGCATGTTTGTAGCTTCCCTGCAGGCTCCAGTTGTGACTCGATGTGCTGCTGAGAAATCTGGAGCAGGCGTAGCACGCTGTGGTCTGCCTACAGGTGCTGAGATGAGCTGTGAGAGAATGTTACGTTGCGGTCACTAGAACTAGCACTGTCTTCATCAATAAAATCGTCAACTCACAACCTGCAATGGCTTAACACCTTTGCTGTGAGGCTGGCTTCTCTTCTGCCAGGTTGGATTTACCACATGTTGAAATGCAAGCAACCACTTCCTATTTCTCCGGCTGAGCACCCACATGCGTGCAAAGGTCTGCATGGGTACTACCTAACACTACCAGCACCACCACAACTCTGGGCGCCTTCTTGGCGATCATGTCCAGGATGTTGCGGAAACGCTGCGAGCAACGCTGTCGCCAGGCTTTGTCCACACGGAAGGACAAGGTCTCCGCACTCTCCTGATGGGGCAAGTAAAATCTGGACTCCTTTTGGCGGATACCACCCTTGCTTCTGTCTGTTACACCTGTTCATTCGAGATCTCCTTGAAGCTGGCAACACAGGGACTTAAATTCAAAATGGCAACTACCAGTAGCACCCCTAAGAACATTAGTAGCATCCGAGCATGCAAGGTCAAATTTGAAGCACCTGTAGCCGACCACGTGTTAACAACGGTGCTTGCGATGCCTCCCAGCCCAGGAGTTCGACGTCTGCTTCTGCACCCTCTCCACCCTCGGCGTCATCGAAGCGCGGGCCCGGGAAAACTCCCACGACCTGGGCAAACTTGACGACACCTGGCCGGCGCATTGCGGACTTTGCACATGTTGAAAAGTCATGTCGACTTGAAGTGTGGGGCACGGAGGGTCTACTAAAGGAACTTGTGAGATGAAGTGATGCCTCATCCCGGCCTTTGGTCAGGGAGGAGACACAGTGCTTCACATCTTCGAAGGGCTTCTCATTCACCTGCAGGTTGGCCGTGGGGGATCAAAACCAGTCATGTGATAAGCATCAAGAATGATGTTTCGCCGAACCGCAAGCGTCAACGGCTATCGAAAACGGAACTGCAGAAAAAAGAGCTTACTTTGCGTTTGCAAAATTGAGATGCTCAGGGAGTCTGCCTTGGTGTCCAGTACATCGTGGATGGCATCCAGCTGCGCTTTGAAGTTCTGGCCGTCCAAGTTGCGCTGCTTCTCCATCTTCTTGAAAGCCTCCGGCAGACAGGGCCAGTACAAACTGAGTTTGTTCGTTCACCTTTGTATCCTGTGGTCTCCCCATCAAAACTCAAAGAAGAGACAGAGACCACCTGAAAATAGCAACATGCCGCATGTGAAGGACACCAGACTCTGTAGCTCTGCCCCAGCCCTCAGCCAAGCAGCATCTCCGACTTTTTGAATGTCCACTTCATGGCTGGCGCTCTTCACGGTCAGGCCATTCACCTGCAACAGCCATGACCAACTAGACTTTGCAGGCATGGCATGGAGTGCCCAAAGTAGGCAGATGTCCTTTGACAAGGCATGCTTGTACTGGGGCCTTGCAGGCTTGGGGTAACAACCTCACATGACCTTTGCAGCTTCACAAAAAGCCAGAACCTTGAGCCCGCCTATTGCTTTGAAGCCCTGAGAAATTATTGCCCATACACAATAATATACAAGAATAATTTGGCAATTATCATGGTCAGGGAGCGCATCCACCCGCACAAGTCTTCCGCTCTGCTTCTCTACTCCATCCTGAGTCTGCAGCCTCCTCGCGCATCTTCAGGATGTCGCGCTTCTGTTCTCCAAGACCTCCCTGGACGCCGCTCATGCCTTGGTCGGAGGGCCAACTCTGGGAATTGTCAGCATGACAGCGCTTTAGGCAACTAACAGCAAGGAAAGGGGAAGTAGCGAAGCTAATGACACCTCTAGGAGCAAGATTCAGCAAGACGTCTGATAGCAGCGCCCGAGGCAGCGGCGTCACTTGTGACCAGCGACTTTGTGGTCACAGGGGGGGTCAATAACGTCTGGTCGAATCAGCCCACCAAAGCCCACAACAATGACAGGGTCGAACGAGGTCACAAGAACCACACAAGTGACCCGCGAGGGGGGCGACAAGTGACCCCAAAACCACATCTTAGATAATGAAGTCCATGTCAAACCACACACACGTGACAAGCGAGGGGTGGCCACAAGTGACTCAAATCAGTTGATCACTGATCACAAATGACCGGTATGCCCCCGATATCAGGACTGCCATCGCCCTTGTTTATCATAATTTTACAGCTGCAGTTGCACAGGCGCGGTAGTTAGGATATGAAAGCCACGTGGATGCCAGCTTCTTTGCAAAGCACGTAGTAGCCAATTATGCTTCCAAACATTGCATCCCTCCTTCATCAAGGTGCGAAGGTCGAGAGCGCCCAGCCGACGTGAAGACTCTGCCGATCGCAACTCCGACTGCTGCTCCTGCAGCGGCACTGCGAAAATTATGGGTGGGGCGGTGCTTAGAGACAGGAAGAGGCGATTCAAAACGGTGGAGAGATGCGTGCTTGCGGATTTACGAATCTTCTCCAACAACGGGAGTCAAGTCTTAGCAATCCAAGGTGCCACATCGCCGATCTTGTCCATGACCTCCTGTTGCTTGGAGCGGTTGTCATTCTTCAGGCGCGCCTCCAACGGAGATGGAATTGGAGGGGCAGACGCTCTGCCAAAGCAAGTGCCGGAGCATTTTGACACAGGAGCGGCCCCTCTTTTCTGACAAAGAATTTCCCGGGCAGTCCCTCAAGTCACCGCCATGCTACATATTGCTTCCTGCAATTGTCAGTATGGATCCTCACAATACGCTGCGCAAACAACGCAAGCCCCGAACCCAACCCCTCTTTTTGCATCCGGCTCCATGCGGTGTTATGGGCCGGAAGTGAAACCCGGAGGACATGGGTAGATGGTTGACAGCACTCTTTCCCTTCTGAACTCCACCGAATAGAAACTCTCACGCATGACAGGGCACAAAACACTGGATTTGAACCCAACATGCCATAACCCCAAAATCCCGAAGCAAAAGCCCTCAACCAAAACCCTGGACCTTAACCCTCCCGTTGACCCTGGTGTCAGTATTCGTATTGTTGCTCTGGCCTGGCCTCTGTGTCTGCCACGTTACGCTCCAGGTCGCTGCGGACAACTGCCACCTGCAAGGCTTCTTCGCGGCTGAAGGTTAGTCAAGGTAAGTAGTGGGGGGGGGGGAGTAATGCACTATGGAAGGCAGGTACACAAGGAATGGTATAGAGTCATAGGCACCTTGTGGCGATGCGATTCACAGGGTCACTGGGCTTGCTATGGTCTATGCAAACCTGTCAACTGCCTACTTGAGAGCGTAGACTTTCAGAGCCTCAGAGAGTTGACTACAGCAAAGAAGGCCACGCCCTTGAAAGGAGGTGCCTCGTTGAAGCAGTCGCTGAGAGAGTTCTGCGTTGTGTGCAAGCTTTCCTTCAGGGAATGATGGCATCAGCCAAACGATGCTGCATGCAAGCAAGGCGGGGCCTGGGTTGCCGAAAGATCCTTGTTGGTGAAGTCAATTCGGCCATTGAGCGCATTGATGGCCTCGCAGTCCCGGACTCCCCCATGCTGTAAGCACAGAGCTCTATGTGCAGCGGAGGAGCATGATCTGTGTCCATCGCCAACTTCGACTTCGACTCCTGAAGCGCGGGGCAAGTAGCCTTCTGACTTGAAAATGGAACCAGGCACTAGCAACAAGAATTATGTTGTCAATTGCAAGCACAGCACTCACCACTGTGCAGGCGTGACGAATTATTTGACAGACAAGAGCCGCCCACATCATTGATGATCGTTAGAATATCTTGACTTGAGGATCGGAAGGCCTAACAACTCGAATGGCCTCCAGGTTTGTCTCCACAGCAGTGATGTCGTGGCGGATGGTGGCCAAGATCTCGTCCACCTTTGCATCAGTACCGATGAGCCCCTGTCGGTACTGAGATTGTGGTGCTTATGATAGGGATCGGTGCTGCAGTTCGGGTTTTCGGAAGTCCGGAACCCACCACTAGCACTCCAGCTACTCCAATTTTGCTCCGTCGCCTACCACCAATCTAATCATTGCTGGCACTCCTACTACCACTTCCAACACGTCTACTACTCTTCTTCTGCCACTACGATGGCGGCGACTGTTGCTGTTCAGGCCGCCTTGCGACGGCGGGCATCCACATCCAGGCGCAGGGAAGAGACCATGTCGCGCACGGTCTTGATAGCTGCGTCCAAGTCATCGTTGGCCTGGACAAAGGCATCGACACAAGCAGGGTTTATCATCTCATGGTGCGTACACTCGTCGAACAGCATGCAAAGTACATAGCCTGTGGCACGGGGCAGACATCCAGCCTCCTTCCAGGCTACGTTATCCACCTTTGTGTCGAGCTTGGCAGTGAGCTCCTCAGCATGTGGTCGGACAGCAGCTACAAGACCACGAGCGAGGACGGGGGTTCTGCAGCATCGTCGATTCACAGTGCCAGCGTGTCAAATTCGCTTTCCATGAATCACGGCCTAGAAAAGCGCGCTGCTTCTGGATTCAATGCTGCAAAAACGAAACATTGCGGGCACTGCCTACACAGGTCCGTCGCTTCTGAAAGAAAATGCTCTGTCGCACATGTTTCACAGCGAGCGTGACCGCGCCCAACTTCCTGACATTCCAAGCATTGTCGTGCTTTCATTCGCGCGAAACAGAACTGTTGGTTGCCGATGCGTAGCTGGTTCTGCTAGGAGCGCTTCAAGCCTGCTGTTTCTATGTTGCCCCCGGCAGCCCCCCCTAGGCAGAATAAGCGTTTCTGGCTTGCAGTAACATAGAGCAATGTGTTTTCAACAAGAAGCTCATAAGATGATGTATAGCAGCAGTAGCACTACTAATGGCAACAACACATCCACAAATTGGATTGGCGACTCTCTGTCCACACCCATGCATTACTAGGGACGGTTACTGTTATTGGGATGCATGTAGACCGCCTGCCGTCACTGGCTACGAAGTAGCAATTCTGTAAGGCCCAGACATTCTTCAGGTTGATCATGTCCTCACTAAGGTTCTCCTCCTTCTCCTGCATCTGCTGGAGGGTGTTGGACACATCCTCCATCCAAGAGTCGTGATTCTTGAGGGCTTCTTGGATGTCGCCGATGTCAAGACGCATAGTCGAAATCTCAGCGGTCATGGTTGCTTCAACACGTTGGCGGCTGGTGATGATGGAGTGGGTTGCATCCACACGGGCACGCATCTCATCCAGATCCACATTCACGGCATCCATCGCCTCGGTGTGCTGCTTTCCGAGCCCTGAGACCGTCTTTACAGCAGTTGCATAGCGGGTGCTAGTAGAAGAGATACCTGTAGATTCCCAGGCCAAGTACTCGACCATCTACATTCTGGGACTCCGGCGGCAGTGAAGTCTTCCATGTCACGTTCGCAGGCCAGCACGATGCGACGGATATGGTTGACCTCGCCCTTGCTGTTGGTAAGAAGATCCTTCAGCTCTCCCACATCGAACTTAAGCTGGTCCACATCCTCGGGCACGAGCTCTAACCCCCACAAAGGAGTTCTAGGGAAGGAGGGATGTTTCAAAACAAGTCGAGTCCTATCTCAAAGGTCTTGCACCGTTTCACGCCCATGCAAAACAAGTTGAGCTTCAGCACATGCTCCCGCAGCAGCCCTCTCAGTACTTCTACTAGCTGCAAAGGGCTTCGGGTCCTGCCCCCCCGGTACCCACGCATTATCCTGGTACATTATTTGGACGTTTTTGGATCCTTCTTCCACTGGGTACTGTGCCGCTTTGCTTCGCGTGGGTCTTTACAACGCGAACCGACTCTGGTACGGAATCACAAATTTAGAAATGCACAGCTTCCTGGCCTCAGCCATGGTATCCAAGCCCGTGTCTGCGCCTGCACCAGCACCATCGATGGGCTTCGTGGTCCCGGTAGAGCGTTGCACGTGAGAGAGCTTCTTTTCAAAATCCGTGGCTACTGTGGACAGCCTTGGGTCATGGACACGTGCCAACAGGAGCACTAGCTCAAAAATACGACGCAAACCTATGCAATCCCGCACATATCTTCGGCACCCGAGTTGGAAACGGTGCTGCGGCTTTTCCCGGCCAAGAGGCTGGCTTGTAATCTGCGACTCGAAATCCTGAAGCCTGGTTGCAACCTGGTCCCATTGCATGCATGCCAGGCGCAAAAAGAACACAGAGCCTTCTTTGCCTTCTAGATACCACTCGTGTCAAACTAACAGTCTGCAACGACGAGCAGTCTCGGGCTGCAACACCCACTACGCATTGCAGTGGTGGCGGCAAGGTTATAAGACCCTCCCCGGACCTTCTTCATGATCTGAGCTTCAGCTCCACGCTTCACGCCATCATCGCCACCCCCTCCGGCGCCCGCAGTGTCAATCTTCTCCTGTCACAGATTGCAGCCCTTGATGGGCCTCGACTTGCTTTCAAAGCAATTCTCCTCCAAAGAAGCCACCAGCCGCTGCAACTCCTGCCGCACAATGTGGCATGAACCTTCCACTACTACACCACTAGTTCAGCAAGCTTGCCCTTCAAGATCTGGGAGCGAGCGTGCAAGGCATGACCGTTGCTACAGGCAGTACCATGCGAGTGCGCTTATGCCCTTCGCGTTGAGCAATGCGTTGTCTTGCTGCTAAACCTTATACATTGCAAAGCATTGAGGACGGGCTTCCCTCCATCCAGGCTGAACATTCCCAGGCTTGTGTGGCGCCTTCTTGTTTGCATCCAGCTTCTGGTGAAGGTCCTCCACGCCACAAAAACTTGGTGATTGTGCTACAGCAGTAAGACATTGCAAGCTACTGCAAATCTCTGACATTGCTTCTCACCTCACGGTGCGTGGCAGCGGTGCTCTCGATAGCTGCCAGGCGCTTGTGCACCTCCTAGCAGGCTTGACGGACGAGTAAGTGTACAGAACACGTAATCCTCACAGCCGCTGCACTCCAGTCACCAAAGCCACTGCCGCTGTCAGATGCAAGCCATGCACCCAGCGGGTCAGTTCTACTGTTGCCCTCAGAGTATTGCAATCTCCTGCAAAAAAACAAAAGGGAGCTGCAGAATCCACACCTACCAGATACCTGCGCTCCCGGAATAAAACACCAGTACGACCCGCCGCCACATTTTCCATCTCAGCGGCTCTATCTGCAACGACTGGGCGGTTCCTTTGGCCCATGAGCAACTCTTATCCACCCGCTGCCCCATCTGATCGGTTCCCCTCATGCGCCTTGCGCGCGGTACTGCCCATGGTCAAATGGCCGATCTCTGCACCGTGCTCTAAAATGCATTGGTGCACAGACATCATGATTTGGCTCTTCAATTCTTTGAATTCGCGTCGAGGGATGGCTCCGCGCGCGAAAGCATAGATTAGCACCTTTGCTCCAAGGTCACAGTAGCCGTCAAACATGGCCAACGGGCGGAACAGCTTCACGCGGCCACCTCGGAGTTTGATGAGCCGCTCCACATCCTCCCCCTGCATCAAAGTTGGGTGGGTGTCCAGAAGCAACTGCAGCTTGGCAACCAGGTCTGGCAAGCTGTAGGCCGCAGAGGGGACCACATAGACAGACTCCTCAATAGGACGGAAGTCCTTGATGGACCTGTTTGTGACAACATCATCTAGAAGAGTCTGGTTCGGGACATGGACAAGAACGCCTTGTCGACTGTTGATGTGAGTGTTGATGGGGCCAATTTCCTTCCAGGGCAAGTTGCACTATCCCATGCTGATGAGGCAAAGGCTTCAGATTGCCAGGCGCCATTAGAATTTCAGAATTGCAACTTTGCTACTCATGACCCAAGAAAATGCCCCTGCTGGCAGCAATGGTACTGAAGACCTAGTTAATGTTCGAAGCAGCAGTCCTCCACCACCCCTGTCAAGTTGTTCTTCGTGTCTTGAATCTCATCTCCCTCAACGAAGGGACGACTAAGCTGGATGAGGAGACCAGCAATGAGATTGCCAACGAAGCTCCTGGCTGCCAGGCCCAATGCCAGGCCGCCGACACCCCCAAATGCGAACACGAGATGCGGCCGGAGACCAAAAAAGTAGGCCCAGGGCAAAACAAAAAGGCTCACGATGATTATGCAGCTGATGAGCCGGCTCCCTAAAGCGACCCTTCTTGCCAGCATCCGCAGCTCCGCGTTGCGAGGGTGCTGCATGGCATAGACAATCTTTGAAAGCTTCCCAACCAGTCCACCAGCCTCCACTTCGGACCAGGCCAGCTTTGTCTCTGGCGGCTGCTTCAGCTGAAGAAGACAAAGCCCAATGACCGAAGTCACAGATGCACGCCATAGGCGATTGCTGATGTCGAACACCTAGGCACTGATTACCTTCCTGGGCTCATGAATGCCCATACCTCCGTGACACCCAGTGAGGGTACCAGTCATGGCTTCCCCCTAATATTAAGCCCACCCTAGTATGAAATCCGGACTCCCAAGAACTCCAAATTCTGAAATCTGACCCGAAGACTAATTTTCAAAAGGGCCAAGAATAAAGTTAATTACGGCTCGGGTCCTGTGAAGTAGGGGAGTCCTGAGCATGACCCCGAAGGATTAGGGAGCTCCTTGATCTCCTAGATTTTGATTGTCTTAGAGTGGCTTTTATACAGAAATGCACATAAAATCTGAATGCGATTTAATTGGGTTTCTGGCAGTTTCATATTGTTTTGATTAAACGGTTAGGTTCTAATTGGATTGGAAAATAAATAGAGTTCAGTTGATTTTAATCGGATGGATTCTAATATTAGAATTTGATTAGAGTTTTGCATAGGCTGTAAGTGGTTTGGTTGCGTTGTTGATTGATGTCAACCTGGCTGTATTTAGATTCCGATTTTTGCATGTGAAAAAATCAACTGCTTTTAAGTTGATGTCAATTGATTTTTCGACTGAGCGCTGAAGGGCTCCCAAGCATGCTAAACATGACATGCTGGTATATCAAAGCTGCACAGTCGTGAAACTAATCAGGCTACCACTATACTGATGAGAAGTCCATACAGCGTAATCCTGCCCGACATCATGAGAAAACTATTGTACCAAGCTTCCCTATTTCTCGTACATGTGGTATAGAGCGAAACTACCGAGAGTATTACTGCGAGAGGCCAGTGGCCTGCGGGACAGTGTCCTGGGAATCCTTCAAGGCTACGCAGCAGATGGTCCTTGACGATTGATTGCTGCTTGCTTAACCTCATTCAGATGCTGCATGTTTTTGACATCAAACATGTGCTCAGCTCCTTATATCATTCTATACACGTCTGTATGTTTCAGCAATCCAGTAGAATCTTGACCTACGATGTTAATAGATTGATTGCGATGTTAACTGATTTGATCGGCTTTCGTCTCGATTTAATCGATTCTTATTCGGCGTGAATTGGATTTCAATATAATCCTGTTGTATAAAGCCCCTCTGATATTTGGGGCGTACGATAAACACCGCAGCCCCCAATACTAAATACGGCTCGGAGTATTCACATGGGGGGGTGGGGGGGGACGTCGTATAATATTAGAGGCAAAGGATTAAAAAGCAAAGCTTTTGCAATGCTACTGTGTGGATCCCTGCTATGCATACCAAGGACTCCTCATTCCTCTGGTGCCAATCACTAGAGACATTGTAAAAAGCCAGGGAGCAAAGGCAAACACCTCTGAGGCGGTGAGAATGCCATCTCCATTTGCATCCAGCAACTGGAAGTATGGATCCTGAGTTGCTGCGAGAGCAGCTTGGAACGTCACGCCAACTCCACTCACAGGACCGGGGGGGTGGGGAGGGGTTCAAACTTAGTCCCTTCTTGGGTTTGAGATCCAGGAATTGCGTGGAGAATCCCGTACAATTTGGACTTCATCTTTGAGTTGCGATACCGTCTGACACAGTGACTGCAACTGCATAACTTCTCCTATGAGCATATGGACCCTTTCATATTCGCAGTTTCTTTCATGAATTGCCCAGCTGCCGAGCTCGCCAGATCCAGTGCCCAAGTTGCAGGGAGCACACGGACTCCGAAATTCCTTTGCGAAACTGGGTGGGTTCCTGTTCTCTGCTTCGGGTGTCCCAGCATGGTATGCATGCTCTTGGACTTTCCGTGAACGATGCAGAACATCCACCTACTGATATGCGGTCCGACATAAACAGTCACTGCGCGTCAGCACAACTGACTACCGCGCCTACCTCTGGCTGGCATGCACTCCTCCCTCTCGGCTGCAATGCTGCACTTGTATTGCAATCTGCTTCAGCTTGGTAGATGTCATCTGAACACAGATGCAAGTGCCTCTCCCACGTCTGCAGTCTGTCTCTGATCAAACTATCTAACTATGTGCTGGCCTTTCGTTTTTTTCTTTCGTTTGGGCTCTGGAGAGACCTCTTAGGATCTCCCCGGGCGCGCGACAAGCCCTTGTAGGTCTGAGCTGTCTGACTGAGGACCCCTCGTTGAGAGCATGGATTGCAAAACGACTAAGGGCTGGAAACACGGCCTCTCTCTCTCTCTCCCTCTCTGCTGCTGCGCATACTCGTGCACGCGTCCAAAGCTCTCCAATGATCCCAACTGTATCTGGTTGACTGCCTTGCAGGCCAGCATCAATGCAGCCAGCGCCACGGTCACCCGGGATACACGTGTAACAATTGAGACAATGAATTCCGAGACCTTACCCGCAAGCCAGATCTGCAAGCCTGCTGCTTCAAATACGCGGGAGAGCAGCCGGTTCAAGGCCCTGGCGGGTATCTCTGAGATCTTCGGGGGTAGGAGTTCGAATCCTATGAATCAAGGGAGGAGGGCCTGGGTTTTGAGACCTAAGACTTAACCACCTGGCCTGGTTGTGAAGCGAAAATCCGTAGCGAGCGCAGCATTCATCAGCCAGAGCGCCGAGCCCACATAAGCCAGCACCCGCAAGCTCAGGTTGCGGCCAAAAAGACTCTCCAACGCATTAAGCTTGTCGGTGAGCTGAAAGAGCTTGTGGACTAGGAAAGGCCAAGCTAATAAGACCAGGCCCCGCGAAACCTCCGTTGCCTGACCCAGTCTACTCAAAGCTTCCGACTTCGACGATTTGCCCCGCAAGGCCGCGGAATCCGTTGCCTTCTGCGCTCTTCCGGGACCCCTCCGTTCCTGTCGTTCCCGTGGTGGCCAAGGTCTCAGCTTTGGAGGGCTCCGTGGTGGCCCCAATGCCCCGCCAAGACGCCAGACAGCGCGGAGCGAAAGACAGGGGATGTCGCCAGCTCCCAAGGCTCCCATCCCTGCAGCCATAACTCTCCGGAGCCAACACAAAATGCTGCCAGGCCGCTTCTGCACCTACGGAACTAAGTAAGACATGCACCAGCAGTTTTTGCAGCCATTGGCAGCATTGCGGCAGTTATGGCTGCAACAGGCATCAAGATACTGTAGCCCCTTCCTTCCTGATTACAATTGTTTGGATGCGTCCCGGGCTTCATAGTCATAGCTGCAAAAGTGGAGGCGGCCGCATATGTCTTTAGGCGGGAATACCGTTCGGCCTTCATGCGTCCAAAGCAGTTTTGCAATTTTGCCCGAATCCACACCCCTGTACTGCTTCAGCAGTGCCTATGCTTAACTAGCAGGGACAGAAGTAGCGCTCGACACGACAGGTGTTCTGGATGCAATTGCACGAAACTCTCAAGCCCATGCAAATGAGTTTTGGGCTTCTCAAACCGGATCACCGAAACCATCCGCCCCAGATCCCGCCAAAATCGAATGGGGCCTAAACTGGAAAGGATCCTGCAAAAGGGATGGCTTAAGAACCCCTACACAATAACCACCGACTTAGTCCCGCGCCAATATCATCCCACCACACAGTTACAGACTTACCGACCAGGCTGTGTCTTCAAAAACACATTCCCCGGGCCTCATCTGCGGGTGCCGAACCTCCGCCTGAGCTTTACACCAAGCTCCTCCCATAGCCCTCCTTGACATCTCAGGAAACGAATACAATGAAAGGTGTCTGACCTGCGCAAGGGAATTCATACTCGCTGTGTCCAACTAGGACACATGTGATACTGACTGCCCATGGAAACTCATGAGTCCAATCGTCTGACGGAAGCCACTCCCCAAACAGGCCAAGCGCGTGTCTTACATTATCCCTAGCGTCCCGCTTCAAAGATTCCTGAGGCGTCTACATGGTCCTACATCATCCGTGATCCAGCCTCCTTCTCTCAGCCAATTCTGAAGCCCTTTGTAATCACCCGTCCCGGCACAGCAACCCCCTAGTTTTCAAGCCTTTCATGGCCCTCTGCGTTCCGTTCCCTCTTTAGGAACCTGGCGAAGGCTGACAAATTCCCCCAAAGTGGCATAGTACCATCATAATCCCAACAGAACCCCGGCCCTGTGCAATCCATACATGATCCGACTCTGCTTCCGAGTTTTGAGGTCCCTTCTCAAAAGCATTTTCCGCCTGGTGCAGGCGCGGCAGGTGCGCCAGGATCAGCGGGGGTAGCTGCCAGCTTCTGCTCGAGGAGGGCCAGGCGTTGCTCCAGCTCCTCCCAAACTGGGTTGCTGTTAGCTTAATTTAAATTAGATAATAAGGAAACTGCATTATTTACTACGATTACCATATGTACTATAATTACACCCATATACCGGAAACTTGATTTAAGTTCCCAAGCAGCGAGCCAAAACATGCTATTTGGAGGGCTCAGGCCTGAGGTTAAATTGTGCCTTCTTGAATGGTGTGCAGTCACTCTATTTGGGCCTCCACTTGCAACAGTATTGCAATTGCGCATGAAAAGCTGTGATGCGACAACCATTACAAGGACAACTTCTACTGTAGGATTGTAATCGCTACTACTTTAGAGCCATCCTTCAAGCTAGCATCGGGGTTATATAGGGATAGTGGAAAAGAACATGGAAACTACTATTTAGGATTTAAGGTGCAATGGCAGAACTACAGTCAGGCTTCGTACCGCTTAAGGAACTACTACCTAAGCTAAGGTCGTAGAAGAAGTCATGATCACCATGCTAATAAACACGGCTGGCAGCAACACTCTGATCACTCTGAGCCTCATACGAATTATCCAGGCCACTCTGGCGCAAACTGCTCAAATGGTACTTTCCCAATATAAGGGGACCCCGATATATACCCCAAGATACGATGGTCCTCATTATGGGGACCCCCGAAATGGTACCCCAACCACAAAATCCTTAACTTCAATAGCCCTTGCTCGAGCAGGGCCTCGTTTTTGGAAGACTTCTCCAGAGCAGCGAAGCGCTTGTCGATCTCCTCCAACTTCAAGGCTCAGACAGTTCTGCGGAGGTACAAGCGTGCCGAAACAATAACAATAGTCCCTCTTAAGTAGATATGATATGGGGTATATGAGGGTCTGCTTATAATATACCCAAAGCCATATTCTATCTACTTAAGGGGGACTATAAGTGTTGCACGTTACAACTGAACATCATGGTCATCATGGAATGGTTGTGCAAGTTGCTGGATACATGTGGTAACAATAGCTGGTGCGAGAACCAGAACAAGAAGAAAAGCAAACTGGATACGCCTTGTCATTATGATATGGAGGGAACCTCGGAAACTGCTTTCATCATCAAACACTACCGTCTGGATTCAGCAACATCAGCCATTGACCGCTTCTGATTTCCCAACGCTCCGGCAGGCTCTCGCTGATGAGTTTGCATAGTTCCTTCGGACAGAATGTGCATTCAACACTCCCGCAAAAGGTACAAACACTAAAAGATGCCTTTGGGGCTAAAGCTCAGGCACACGCAATTCTTGCAGTTGACAGGAATGCTAGCGCGGGCATATGCGTGCATATGCAGTGGCAGACACAAGGAAAAGTTTGCACTCCTCCACTTTTGCGGGGTCGGTAGACACAGACATTGCAGTGGAAGCTTCACTCAGTGCTCAGCGCTCCCAGCTTTGAACCAAAACGGTCTGCAGCCGAAAGACACGGAAATAGCTGGCATGACAACTGTTGTTGTTAGCAGCTCCATTCGGACCAAGCAAAGTGAGGCGCTGGGATTGGTACGAAGCGCTCGAAGCGACTCGCCGCTACACGGGCAAGCTCCAAGGCCGAGACTGGCTCCTGGGACAAACGAAGATTGTTCTTGTTGTTTTAACTGGAACCTGCGTCGTGCAACCGAAACTGTGTGAGCTTCCCCAGCATGCGATCTTGCTCGTAATCTGCTGGATGACAAATGCACGAAGATCGCGGAAGGGGTTCACCGAATGCGCTCCCAAGGCAGCCTCACACACGAAAACGTGCTCACGCTCACCCAGGTGAAGCTTGACCTCATGCATGATGAAGGCAGATCAGGCAGGAAAATTGCAGCACCCGACAGGAAGAAGGACAAGCGTGTGTAGCTTTGCAAGTACTTTGTCTCGTGGTAGTCATGCTTTACGCTGTAAGACTCAGGGCCCAGCACCTGCGACCGGCATGAGAGTTTTTGGATCATGCAGCGCTGCACGGGTCTGATGGTGAATCTTGTGTGAACCCTGCTGTGATCTACGACATGCTGCTGCAGCAAGCCCTTGACACTGACACTCTTTTTGACGTACTTCGCCCTTGCCGCCTGGCGAACATGAGCCCTACCTTTCATGCAAGGCATCTAATCAAGGCTGCTAGGCTATTATTGTCGAAGGTTGCTAGGCTTAGAATGGCTGATGCTATCCTTAGTCACTAGTAGCATGCAAGGATAGCACAAACAAGAAACGTCACGCCGCCATACTCAACGCAAACGCCCTTTCAGAAAAGCTCCGGCGGTGTCAGTAAATCAAAGGGCGGCTGGCTAGAGTCGTGTACACACATTCCACTGACGACTACTCTCTGCGGCCTCTCCTTGCTAAAATTCTGCATAGCAATAGGAAGAGTCATCGTAATGGTAATAGCAACCTCATGTGTGGCAACATCGCCCAACCCGGGGCACTGGACCCGACGCCACTGATTAAGCTTCCTGTACAAGCAGAAGCGGCCATCCGTAATCACAACGTAAAACCTTTCATGACAAATCTAGAGTCTGTAAGAGAAGAAAGAAGGATCCGGACCCAGCTACATCACAGTGGAGCAATCATACAAAAGCCACAAGGCTCTTGGCAAAGCAAATCGATGTCAGAAACGCACGAACCTTAGGCCGCATATTCTCCTTTGCTGAGCCTGCGGCCGCACCCGGATACACAGCTCAAAAGAATACTGGTATGCGTTTGGAGTTTCGAGTAGAGGGGACCGCACAGTCTGCTCATGGGTCACCCTTGCACTGCTGTCCAGTGGCGGGCGCTCGCTTGCAAAGAAAATTGGGTATCCACTGGACAATCGACACAGCATGCATTGCTGTTGACAACATGTTTGGAAACTGGCGCGCGCGGACACATCTGACTCTCTGCCGCCGTCCCAAATGCAAATGTGGTGGTGTTCCTAGAACAACACATGCTTTAGATAGTCCGTGTTGTGCGTATCCAGTTTAATCGCCTGCAGCCCACGAAGAGAGCCATCATCAAGCTCCAAACCGATAAAGCCGCCAGCCGGGTCTGTGATCATGGAATTTTGCAAAGAGTGGCTACCAGTCTGGTAGTGGCCAGCCCCGGTAATCTCCATCGTGTCAACATCAAAAACGACGGCTAAGCCACGCTGGTGGTTCAAACCGTCCGGTGTGCGGAACATGCGGTGGGAGAAATGAACACCGACGTTGTTGTTGATGCCATCGTAACGAAGCGTCGCAGTGGTTGCGATTATCCTCCGCAAGTCTTTGGGTAGTGTGCGTTCCATCATCTTGGAACCAAGTCAAAAAGATTGGCTTGCGCATAACACCCTCCACGCCATCTGGCCCCTGACTTGGTGGAAGAGTTCATTTTGTCCATATTTAGTGCCACGGTCGTCTTGCGAGGCGCCTTGGGTACATCATGGCTCGTCCTGGTGATCCGAAGCTGACGGCCTTCCGCCAGCAGCGCGTCTGGCCCCACTGCAGGGCAAGGCGAGCAGCAGGACCCACATGATTGAGGTTTACAAGAGGGGCAAGCCTTTGCGAACGCATATCCGATGCGGTGCGGCACCTGCACACCCCCATGCCTCAGCCTCGCACTTGCTTACTTCTGCTTCGTAGAAGGCCGAACAGGAAGTGAGGAAGGCAAATGGTAGGGCCCTGAATTGGGACCCCAATGATACGGTTCATTGTTAGGGTTCACGGTTTCGGAATACGGGATTCGGGATTCGGGGTGATGCGCTGGGAGTTCTCAGGGTTAGGGTATTGCACTTAGGTTATTAGGGTTAGGGTAGTCAAGGTTTGTAGGAGCTGGGGCCTAAGGCAGGTAGGTACATATACATATATATGTCTGTGTATGTATGTATCCATAGATGAATGTATATATATACACACACAGAAAATAGGTGTATATATACATATACATACACGATTCAGGTTGGGGGTCATGGTTTTGGGGCTAAGGTTCAAGGTGGGGTTGTTGCGGTTTGAAGTTGGGTTGCTGGATTGAGGTTGGGCTTGTTGCAAGTGACTTCATTTTATTCGGATTCGGGTTTGGGGCTTAGGCTTAAGATGCGCGACTTAGGGTGTAGGGATTGGATTAGGGCTCATGGTTGAGGATTTTCAGGTCAGACTTTAAGTAGGATTTTTGGGGGTAGGCTGTAGGGCTGGTCAGGGTTTAGGTTTAGGATTGCAGCAGTTGCAGTGTAGGGACCCGGGCACAAGGTTCGAGATTAGACTTTGTGATTTTGATTTCTTGGAGTTAGGTTTTCCGGTAGCTTTAGGTTCAGGGTTCGGGTCAAATAGTTTAGGGTTTGGGGGCTTGGGGCTTGGGGAGTTGGGTTGTTCCGGTTAGGGTTTGGGGTCGTTGCCGAGGTTTCAGGTTGGGGTTCAGGGTTTACAGCCTAGGGTTAAAGGCGCTATACGGTTTGTAGAGGTGATGGCCTTTATGTTTTTGTGGCGGGGATTCAGGGTTGTTGCAGTTGGCCCTCATAGGCTTAAGGCCTAGACATAGGGTCTAGAGTCGATAGGTTCAAGATATACGGTCTTGGGCGATGGGGTGGGAGTTAAGGTGTAGGGCTCAAGGCAGGGCTGTTGCGGTCAGAGTTTGGGCGAGGGTTTTGATATACAGTTTAGGGTTAGAGGTCAGGGATTAGAGGGTTTGCAGCTCAGAGATTTAGGGTCGGGGGTTCAAATCTTGAAGTTAAGGTTTAGGGCTTAGAATATGCTAGGATTCAGGCAAGGGTTAGGTCCGGGCTGCAGCGGAGTTCGGGTTGATGGAGTAAGGCTCTGTAAGGGGGTTCAGGGCCAAAACTTTGGGGTTGTTGCTGTTGGGTCCGATTTCGGGCATAGAATTTAGGATTGGAGTTTGGTCGAGTCAGGCTAGTTTTGATTCTGCCCAAGCTCCTGCACCTTTTTCTCCACTGTTCAGAAAGGCGTGTCAGCGAATCTGCTGCAGGCAATGGTCTCGGGTCGCCGCGTGGTGCAGAAGAGCATGTAGGCCTCCAAACAAGGCAGCACTAATACAAGGCATGCTCTAAATGACACATCTGGGACCGTCTGAGGGGAGGTTCCAGGGTTGTGCTTCTCTAAACTGATGAGCATGCCTGCCAGATCAGGAAGGCGAAAATGCCTGCTGAAATCAATAACCACCTTGGTGCTTCTCAAGGTCGGTCAGGAGACAGCAACGTTTTCACACACAGCTCTCATTTTTCCGCCCAAACAGAACAAAAGGATTTAAGCCCCCAAATCAAGCCAAAGGCAGCAAACTCATGGTAACCCAAGCCCTAAATCAACACAAGCCATGCTAGTGGCTGCCCAAATGTTAGTGCCACAAAGGTTTTTTTGGTAACATTCGGGAGATTCTGCAATTATTGACAATCAGTTATGTCCACTTCCAAGATCAGCCGCATCGGCCGGAAGTGTCCCACAAAGGGTGAGGCCACCGCACCAAGGACAAGTCCAAAGCAGGCCCAAATGTACGCGTAGACCACGATCCTGCACTTTGTAGCAATTCCAGGAACAAAAACGCCAGCTTAAATACAAGCGAATGTCAAGGTTGCATTCAGAGACCCTGAAGCGCTGATCGGACCCTGGATGCTCTCACATGGAACTGATTCAATCCCTACATAACCCATTTGTGACCCTACAGCACCCCGACATAACAAACCTATATAACCCTGTAGAAGCATGCCCTCTTTCCAAGGAAGGAGAGCGCTCACGTACAACACTTGTGTCGGCTCTTGAGTCGGAAGTTTGGACCTGATGCCCCCTACTCAACCCGATTATATGGGGCTCAAGTAGGGATTATATAGGGGTTAATCGGTCATCTCTTCACCCACACAGAGAACGTCACTATGAAATGTATCTTGCATCTCTTAAACGAATTCTTCCCAGTGAAGGCCAGGGTTCCCGCTGACCAGCGCCCGCAGAACCTCAGTCAGTGCTGATCTATTTGAAAAAAATGGTGGTTTCCCAAAATTAGGTGTACCTTCCTTGGGGGTCCCTATAAAAAGGGTTATAGTCTTTGGGGGTCTATATTGGTGTCCCCCTGTTTTGGGAAACTACCAAGTCTTCTTATAAGCCCTTACATCCACCTACACTCCCCTGCACTTCTGCGCATGCATTCCTAAATCGCACAGGTACGGATGGGGCTTTCCAGAAACAGGTGGCAAATATACTTCGCAATGACTGTTCAGCCCTGCTTGAGGGACACTGACAGCAGTACACCCTACTCAAGGGCTCCAATGTAGCTCCTTTTTGGGTTTGTTATGGTTTTTGGGTAAGGGATTATAATATACTACCCAAAAAGGACCTACATAGGAGGGCCTGGGTAAACCCTAGACCAGTTTGGAAAATCCGAGATGGCTTGCCTGGGAGAAGAGGTTGTCAGTGGTCTGGACTGCCTTCAAGAGCCTCCAGATCCAGGGAGTTATGTCCAATTGATTGTTTGTGGTTCCTAGAAATAGGGAGATCCCCCCTTTACAGATTCGATTCCCCCGATTGTTGGAAACCCGCTTTTGAGTTATTCGGGTGCTGATCCACAATACGGCAGACGGGGTTTCGTATACCTACTTCACTTGGAGTGTCCCCCGCTAGAATATATTGCATATTTCCGCTCTGAGACTTGGGATGGGACTCTTAGAAAGCTGGCTGGGCATTGCATGGACACTTTGCGGTTGGCAGCAAGGATACTCTGCCAGTGGATGACCCCACAGAAAGATAGGCGAAATGGCGAGAACATGTCTTCTTGAACTCTAACGACCCACAGCTGGGACGGAGAATAACCGGAAAGGTCCTTAACATGGAAACCCATCATACAGTAATTCTCGCACCATCGTCGTCTAAATCCAGAAATCCAGACAACAACATTTCATCGGGGCTTTCGCTTGCTGCACCCCCAGTTTGTGGCTGTTATGTGGCGATGTGTCTCAAACACAAACTGACCGGACTCGGCGCCTCAAGAGCAATGAGTGGGCTGCAGGGAAGACCAGCAAGAGGCTTGCCACCCAACCAAATGTGTTCTGCATCATATACTGCCTGGTGAGCTTTGACAAGCGGGTCAAAGAGCGGACATTGCCAGAACTGTCCACGCTGCTCCAAACTTAGACTTCCAAAATTCACATGAGATATGTGGAGTGAAGTGGACAAGCGTTCACCAAGCACTCAGCGGTTGATGAGATCATCGAATGACAAGCCGCAGCAGCGTGCTATCGGATTGCTTGGCGCTTTTGTCGCAGGGGCCATCATCGCAGCCGAAAACGTTTACAGCCGCAAGCAGCATCATGGGCAGGAAAGTGATGAGGCAAATATGATACGGCACATGCCTGAGCAAGAAATTGTCTCTTGCATTCCCAACATCTACGTACATGTGCTCAACAGGAGCTACAGTACCTAGCACATAACTACGACCAAGAAACAGCTCATGCCCAATCCTGTCGCAGACAGCATCATAGAGAGGACCCTGCACGCAGGCATTGAACCGTTCCAAGCCCGGCGAACACGATAAATTTGACGGTGACGACAGCAGTTTCCGCTCCAAGCCAGATGTTGACTGGCCTGTGCCACTGAATCGCAACTTTAAACTTTATGAAAGCAGATGCTGACATCAGAGCGCAATTCGTATAGCTGTCGAGGAGGGCCATTGTAGCTACTGTAACCAACCATTTGCAGGCAAAGGTCGGGGCCAGCGCATCGCTCTCTTCGCCAGGCTGCCGGAGCTTCCAGCGGAAAAGCGCCTTCCACAAAACATCGATCCAAGTAGACAACGGGACTTGAGTACTGCAGGCTTCACTTCCCACCCCCCATCACCACCAACGCCGCCGCCGCTGCCATCACCACCACCAACACCACCACCACCAAGACCACCAACACCCCCACTGCCCACCAACAAAAAGCTGAGTGACTCGACTAGCTGCCAGCTGAGGAGCTTTGTAATCTCTTGCTCAATGTATGTCCGGTCAGACTCAAGAGTGCACTTGGCACGTCGCACGTCGAAGTGCTCGAGCTGGTCGAGCATCAAGCCATGTCGGTGGAGCTTGCGAACAAAAGAAAACATACTTGGGATGGCAGCGGGCAAATAGCACAATCCAGCAAACAAGCCCACCATAAAGAATGTGCCGAAGACCGTCCCACCAGACTCGCGCCCCAGCCACTGCGACAGGCTCTGTTGAATAACTGGCATGTACGCTGTGGACCAGCCACTGAACATGAACTCCCGCAGCTGGAACATTGTCGCGCACAGCAAGTCTACCAGCATGGTGCTTAACAGCCATGGTGGCATCCAAAGCGGCATGAGGTCCACCTGCTTTAAACTTCCATCATTCTCCAGAAAGAGGGATACTTCCAGCCCACACCAGAGCCGTTCAAAATAGAACCTTCGTTGCTATGAGAATAAACTTAATACTGATCATATTACTACCTGTTGTTGTTGGTGATGACTCTCGAAAATGTAGTGTCCACTGCTGCCGGCTATTGGCGCCAACTATGTAAGCAGCATGACGACAGGAAAGGGCAAGAACAAGCCCGTAGTAATGCGCGCATGGAGACGCTATGCTGATATTGGTGCTGGCTGGTTTGGTGAGAGGTGAGGGCAGCTGGGGTTTCAGAGGGATTGAGGATGCCCTTGGCAGCTTTCGCTTGAAAAGCCTATCGTGCCTACCCATATATCAAAGTTTAGAAGAAGAACCTCTGGCTTGTAATAACGCTTGAGGTCAACATTCCTCGAAGGAAGCATCGTCTAAACCCTAAACCCTAAGCCTGTACGTTTGAGGAGCTTGTCCCAAAGGATGAGCATGCGATTGGACCGTGCAATGAAGTTCGGAAGCGCTGCGATGCCACGCTGCTTTGCCGGCTCGTCCAGCTGATGCACACAGACCTGCAGGCTTGGTCTTGAGAGACCCAAACGGTAGTTTGCCCAAATCTGAGCTTAGTATAGACCCCAACATACTATAGTCCTTATGATTGCGACACCCGAAATAATGCCCCTTATTGTCGGAGTCGCCTACACACTCTCCTGAAATGCTGCCTTGTCTAGCCAAAGGGAAGGGCACAATGACGCGCAAGTGAGCGCGTGGCCGAAGAAAAACACAACGAAGAAGACTAGCATAGGGATGTACCTTAGTACGTCTGAGATTTAGTTTGATGCTGAGGACATCTTGAATGGCTGGCACTCGCTAAGAGCACGGGGGGTCACATTCTAGGACCCCATCTGTTGAGAGATCGCATGTTGAGCACAGGGAATTTAACTGTACTACCCTGGAAGACAACAGTAGTGCTTCAGGAGCTCCAGACCAAGCATTGCTTTATCGTCTTACAGTGTCTAGATAGAAGTAGCCAACTAAATTACAGAGTCACTCTACAACAAAGAAAAGGCTGTGCACCGAACACCGTTTAAGAGATTACCACTGCCTTCCTGCATCCTACCATGTCCGCTTCAAGCCCGGGTTTATTCGACTGTTTCGATTTACCGCTTCAATTTATCGTTTAAATTTTTGCTTTAGTATCATTCTCCTGCAACTTGCCCCGAATCAATAACAAGGATTGTAGCATTTTGAGGTCGAGATTGGGGTCCCGCCATCTATGGAAAGTACCATGAGGGATGGGGGGATCAACGCATCCCAACTCCGATATGTGCCCAATTTACTAAAATCTCGCGAAAAAATTTCCAAACATCGTGAGGTGCAAGAGTAGCAACACCAGCTTGTTCCCACCCAGTGCCGTTGGACCCCCTGCCCAAACAGTGAGCGCCACGAGGAGAATTGTTGCAGTGCTAGCAAGAGCCTGAAAAGGAATGATGGACTGATTACTTGTCATTGACTTGCTATCTATCGCGGAAGAGACAGTGAAGTGGGATACGATCATGGTAGAGGTAGAAGTGACAAAAGGCTGTCAGTGATAGAGCTCTTTGCACCCGTCAGGGATCACGATTTTCCATAACAGTCACGCAGCTTGCACGATGCCGTTTACATGTCGCCTTTGCATACTGCTCAAATTTCAATGGAGGTAGGAGGTAGCACTGGGAAAACCTTGTCCCTCCCCCCTCACTCAGTCCAGCAGATACAGAAACAGCGACAAAACCAAAATGGATGAATATAATAGTACATTCAGTTGTATTTGAACATCTATATATATATATATATGTGGATTTGCTTCTCCTCGGAAGCCTTACCCTGATCTGAAACTTGTTCATGAAGAGGTTGGCCTTCACAGCCATGCCGAGGTTGAGATACTGGCAGAGGGCCAAGTATTTCGCCCAGCACCCAGCGCCCCAATTGTGGCTGATGAAAACGTCAACGTGGGGCACAGAAGCGGTCAAGTAAAAGGCTTCGACACCTTTTGTGCACACACACGCAAGTCCGTCACAATCCTGCCTCTCTTTGAGCTGCAAGCAGGATTGAACCTACACAATGACTAAGTTAAGAGAGTGGCCGGTATCCAGCCCTTCGTCAAAGACTTTCCCAAGTCGATGCAGCACCTGCCAAAAGATCCCAGCTCAAGCAATGAACCCTGTCATGAACCCCATTGCCTGCGATTCTAGGCAGGCAAATGCACACAATGGTTTGAGAGTTTGGCGTGCACTGCAGCTGAAGTCTTGCTATCACGCACCAGGTATGCGGCAACACCTGAACACCAAATGACACCAAAGCAGTAAAAGATCACCTTATGGCTGGGAACTGATGCCACGGTCACGCCTGCTGCGGGCTGGCTGCACGGAGCAGAGCATCGTCTTCCATTGCAGCTGCTAGCGTTCTCTTTGTCTCCAGCTGAAGAACGACTCGAGCCGCGTCTTTGCATCTCTAGATAACACAGTAACTGGCCAACGTTTTGTGCTATCACCCTGTCTCTCTGCATTTGATTTGAAGAGCACATGAAAGCAGCCCTGCGAGTCAGCCATGTCTTTTGTCGGCAGCTTTCCGGCCTAAGGAAACGAGGCATGCGGCATCACACGGCACGCGTTCCTTTTCGTTCTTTTTGCTCTTCTAATCCCGGAGTCTGCTCACCGCGCTGCTTCAGGGCAGCTGCCCACATGGAACCTTCCTCCAGCACATTCCGTCACATGTGGTACGGGAGAGTCGCATCTTCAACAAGTGTCGACATTGGTTCTGGGCAGCCGGCATTCGGCAACAATGTGGCCTGGCTGGCCACGACAGCTTCTATGACTTCAGTGCTGAGATTTGCCGCCCGAAGAGACCAAGAAGCCCGCAAGCAGCTGACGCTCACCATCATGGCAACCTTCGTGAAGAAACTTCAGGTATGTCAATCAGGCGCGTGAGCGTGAGGAGTCGCTGAGGCTACCGGCTCCACACTTCTTGGCAGCCCTCAGCACTAAGGGCCTGGGAGTGGCACTGCAATGCACTGCAAAGCCAACGCCAACCTGATAATGGCACTGCGGCTGCAGGAGACGCGATTTTGCTCCTTCGGCTGTCTTGACTTCATGGAGAAGCCGACGCTTCAGAACAGCCTGAAGGTGAAAGAACATGATTGTTCACAGAAACTCCTATCTGCAAATTCGGGGGAGTGATACCACTTGAAAGCCGAAGTCCTCAATGCATCCAGACCGCAATCCGATCAAGGCGCTCCGCATTGAAAGCTGCTACGCTAGTCTTCCAAGGGTCCAGGTCTTCGGCCAAACGCTCGACCTCGGCCTGCGATTTTCTCTTGTTGATTTAGGAATCTCTCCCGTCTACAGCCCCCAGACTGCAATCCCATTGATAAGTCCCCTCATAGCCACCCCTGTTTCGGAAACCCCCACAAAAAGAAATTTCAAGTAATGCAGACAGTGAACTCTCAACATGGTTGTCATTTGCAGCGGCAGCTGGTGCAGGAGGATGCGGCGCGGTAAAGTTGCCATGACTGTTCAACCGAACCAGGCAACACATGGGAACACATGTGATGGCAAAAGCTAGGATGCCTGCTGTAGCTGTAGGGTTTCAAAATGCAGTTGCTTGACGAAATGCGCCGATGCCTGGATCTGCCCGGAGCTCCACTCAGATGCATTTTCCTTCGCACAGGTCCAGCATGAAATGTTCCCACACCACTGCACTGAGGAGATATGCGAAGCAAAGCTGCGTTAGAAAGAACAACTGGAACCCTAAGAGCTGAATGACACCTGCATTACTCCAAGGATGGAGTGCTGTTGCAAGTCCATACTGTGGAGTCCAGCACTGCCACGTCAGTCTCTGTGCACAGCTCCGGAAACTGCGGCCAGCAAGGTGTGAAGACATGCTCCTCAAATTAGCTCAGCAGGCTTCATGCGACAGTGGCTTCCACCAAAACATACCAAAAGCATGGCAGGATGCAGTACTACTCTTAGCTACAGCTAGCACTACTGTCGTTGAGTTGCTGCGCCCATCGCTCAGCAGCGTGAGAATTGTCAGTACTTCATGCACGCTCGTGCATCTCTGCTGCCAAGCTGCTGGTCTCTTTTGTCGCGGAATCTTCATTCTTCTCGCCTCATACGCAGGCTAATTTCGAGATACATAGAATGACGTCAGATCAGGGACCTGTCGGGTCCCACCACCATCACTAAGGTCTATCATGTCCTCCAGGGGAGCCAGGTACCTGGCGTGGAATCCAAACGAAGCCGCGCTTCACAGCTTCGACACGCATACATCTGACAGCTGTCTCCGCGGTCCTGAAGATGTCTGTGCTACTCGGGGCCTTCGAATTGCTTGGGCGCCAGTTATATGACAATCCATTCGTATTACTGTTCTTATTACTATTGTTATTGTGAATTCTGAAATTAGTACTACCAATAAATTTGCATTACTATCCTTATTATGATTATGATTGTCATGCTGAAGGCAGTGGTCGAACACATTGAGGGTCGCACACCATCTGCTGGATAGGACAGGAAATCCAGGAAGGCCAGAGCATTCTCGCCTGACAGCAGCAAGCAAACTGGGCTCCTTGCTCCGCAAACATCTGCAAACGCGACAAAGCCTTGCAAGTTTCACCCTCTACCTTACTGTCCCACCTAAATACGACTCACGAACATGACTCATCTTGTGAGAAGACGATATATTTACAACACTTTCCGCTTTATCTACAAACCATAGAACGACAATCATCCACATGGCGCTGCCTCATAGATTTGCTACACTGGCCATGAGCTTCTGTTTGGCTTAAAGATGCATGTTTATCACCACTGGGAGCCCTGTTTTAAGCAAACAGAGGGATTCGCACCAGGATCCTGTGGGTCCTTAGAAGACACGAATTAGCTCCGAAATGTTCTGATACACTTTCCTACCAATGTAAAGAGTCCTTGAGGATTTTTGCAGAGAAGGATCCGCAAGTCTGGAGCAACCCTCAGAGGAGCTGAGTACTCAAAAGCAGTGAGCTACAAAAAAGGACTCCTAAGGCATGTTAATCCTCATTATCGGGTACTGCAAAAAGGGAGCCCTGATTTTCGGAACCAGTAATACCTTACACCTAAACCCTAAACCCTAACTGGTAGTTTACGTTTTCTATTCCATTCCCCTGGCCCTATGTATCCCCAAATACAGCCCAATGTAATATAGTAGCTTGCACCCTGTGTTTTGGAAAACCCCCGCCTGGTCGAGGCCCGCTGGCTCGATCTGCACGTTTGGCCGAAGCGCGCACGGCCTGCACCTGCAAGTGGAAGCCAGGGTCAAGGGTTTCAGGGTGTGGACTGAACAAGGATCCGAGTGCGTTGAGCGAAGCATAAGGAAAGCAATCGCACGGATTGCAATTTGAGGCTTTTTCACAAAGGAAAGCTGCAAGGTTATGAAGTTTTATGAAGCTCATTGTGACTGCGCTGTGACTGCGCTGAAGGGTGAAACGAAAGCCATTCATTTGCCGGTTCAGAACTCTCCGTCAGTGACCAGTATGGTTCAGACTCCCCTTCTCGGGGGTGTCGGAGAGATTCTTCAACTCCAAGCTCAATCCCTCCTCCATGAGGCTGTCAGCGTCACGAGGAGATGTTAGTCGATTCCAGGTGCTACGCTGTTCCTCCCAGTCTGCAGAGAGCAGCGCCAAGGAAAAGCCAGCAGCAGCCATGACCTGGAACAAAGCCACAAGACGAAAGGATGCACCAATGCTCCATGAGTCCATTGCCTTGCCGATGGCATACGGCATGGGCATGGCAAAGAGGAGATTGTTGCATTGCACCTGGTAGACGGAGGCTTCGATAACGCGCTGTCCGGTAAGTGCAGTGTTGATAATGCCCTGCGCAGCAGGATACACGCCACCAGCGATGCAAAAAGTGATGAAGAGGGCAGGCCAGAAGCAGGAGCTCGGGACGTACGGAAGCAACGCTGCAAGGACAGCAGCCATACTTGCAACAGATGCGAGGAAGATCAACGTCCTCCTGTGCTGGCTCCACTTGTCAGGCTGCACTACACTCCCTGACATCGCGATGCTGCCACCTAGAGCGGGGCCAATCAGCGCAATACCAGAGAAGGTGCCGAGAATCAGGTGGAGGCCGAAGCCCAGTGACGTAGCATAGTCACGGATTACATATTTGCACCCACCAAGAAACCCCAGCTGCGCTGCGAGCGACACATTGGTCGCCCAGTACACGCCCCATCGCTCAGCGCTTGGGTACTCCACTTCACTTACGGGCTTCAACTCCTCACTGTCCGTGTGCTTTGTCGAACTATCTTCTGACAGGTCCAGGTAGCGCCGCCCACCGTAGGCCAAGCACAGCACGGCAGTTCCACCGAAGACCAAAGCTTGCCCCACAAAAGCCCAGCGCCAGTGAAGACCGGCGCTAACCAACTCTTGCGCCACGATGAAGCCAACATTCTCACCGAGGGGCACCATGGCATGTAAGATCGTGTTCCAGACATTCCAGTTGTGGCTGCCGTGACGGGCCAGCCACCCCTGCAAGTAGGGAAGAAAGGGCGCTTCAAAGAATCCAACCAAAAAGCGAACCGCGTAAATTTGGTGCAGTGTGATGCCAGGCACGGTCATGAGCAGCATGGCCATGACGTCCAGAAGTGTACAAACAATGACAACATTGTATTCACCAAAGGTACGGCATGCCCATGGTGTGAGTGGTAGGCCCAAACAAACACCCACCATCACCCACGATCCCAAGGCCAAGTTCATGGCCTTTGAGTTCCCGGGCAGCGAGACAGCTACCCCAATGTTCGATCCGTGCCCGAATTGGCAGGAAAAGAAATTCATTAGGATGAGAACGAAGAGAACCCAGCTGTCCCTGTTCCTTCTTGCTTTGTCGTCCTTCCATGGAAGTTCCTCAGCAGTCGCCATGGCCGCGGGATCTTTACTGTCACAGATGCTCTTCAGAAGTGTGAATACTGCATTGAACAGCTCCGGTGGTGCAATTGAATTATAATATGAGCGGCGAAGTACAAATTACTGCTATGGCAGGGAGGAGGCACAGGCTGATCCTGGGCTTGGGCCAGGGCGAAGTGGATGGTAGTACTGACAAACGTTGTCATAAAGGTGCGACTTGTCTCAACGGAGGAAGCATCAGAATCAAAATAGGAAAACAAAAAAGAGAGCTAGTGTGCATCCGAGAACGACAAAGACTCTGGGAAGTTGAAACTCCCCACGTTGAGCCATGTTGAGGGCATCCTGCTTCTGACTTTGGTACATCAAACAAAGGACCAGAACGAGATTCATCAGCTGGCATGCCGGAAGGTGGGGTGAGGAATCTTTGTTGAAGTTTCTGTTCTCAGGGGCCATATTTGTATCACCCCATCTACCTTCACGCCGCCTCTTCAGCTCTGTTCTGCGCCAATATCTGGCTGCTCCAGCTGAGGCATCGACCAGTGGCTCGTACGCTCTCAGAAGCTCGAAGGAGTAGAGGTTGCCATCCTTGCAGCAGCAACAACAACAGTGATCATCGTAATGCCAACCAACGGCGGCATGAATCAGGGATAGCTGTAAGTGTAATCAAGTATATGGAATTGGAGTTGGCAGGCGCCTGCCTGAGACATCGGAACTCAGGCTAGGCCTGTCAAGACCTAAACGAGTCCAAGTGACAAGGTTCTCTTCAAAAGAAATAGGATTTGCTACATGCATCATCTGGCGTCCATGCACCCACCACAGGGGGTTCACCATTTGAGTGCTGCTCTTTCTGCGTTCTTGTTGACTCCATGCTGCTTACAATGGCTCCCGTGGCTGAAACTATTGCTTCGCACTTCCGCTTGCAGAGGTTGTCCAAGGGCAGGACGAGAGCTCGAAACGCAGACCCTGTAGGCGTGTGGTGGCCCTTCATCAGCAGCACCGCATAGGCCGGAACAACGTACAGCAGAGGCAGCTCCAGGTTCCTGGGTGGTAACTAGCAACCAGCAGGGAATGAATGAACCTTCTTCAGTCATACCCGATAGCCAAGCGGACATGTATTCCGTGAATTTCCTACTTTATGCTAAGCTCATGACTAGCATCACATCCTATGTTGCGGGCGTGAATTCGTCTTAGTCTGGTACCGGGCTCTGAAGAAATCTGCAGTGGCACCTTGGCAGACGAGACGATGCATGCATACTCCAAGAGGAGATACCCTGCCTGGTTCCCTCCAAATCCTGCCAACCGAGTCAGCAGAGAAGAGCTTCTTTCATAGCTGTCACTTCAGGTTGCTTGTAGAACTATAGGGACGTCGCAGGCAGCTCTTCTTTGTAGATGTCTTCCCCAAAACCAGCCACACCTTTCTGCCGATGCACGCGCAGGGCCCTGCACCTTGTGGAAGAAATCGTCAACCACTACAATGCCACCATCAGATACCCTGTCCCAAACTGCTTCGAGGGCATCCTTAGCACAGTCTCGAACCAAGCCTATACGCTTACCGCAAATCCAGGAGCAACTCCAAGATTTGAAGTCCAGTCTCCAGCACGGACTGGTATAAATCTCCATCAATGTGAACGAAAGCGAACCTGTGAGAGCTTGCGTTCAGCACATGAAAGCTTCAGCGTGATCAGCTCACAAGCTATCATTAAGAGCGAGGGGCTGCTGAAATTCTCTGGGTAATCGAACGTCGCGAAACAAGGACGGCCTCGGTTCGGAAGCAGAAGAAGCAGCAATCCGGCTGAAGTGCCGCTGCTATGGGACCATGCCATGCGCCCAAGCAGCACTGTGGTCACTGTGTCAGCTAGGCCAAAGTCTGCAAGCAGCTCGAGAAAGGCCGCGCTGTTGTCCATGCCCTCATGTTGACCAAAGTCCCCTTGCACGAAGTAAGGGTTGTCTTTGAGGGCATCAGGCGCCGGAAGCCCCTCGAAGGAGTCCTTTGTGACAGGAGTGTGTGGCATCTTAAATTGCTTCAATGAACGCGTACCTCAAAATCTGCAGCTCTGGACCATTATCTTGCATTGGAAAATCATATCCCCACATCATTTCTTGAAGATTCTTGTGAACACTGCACTAGCGTACTTCTAGCGTCTACACGGGTGCCCGGATCTTGAGCCATGGCCATGTTGAAAGTGACAGCCCCAAAGACATCCTGGACGCACGTGGGCTATGTCTGTAGTCTGTATTTTGAGGGGGGCAGTCAGGGTGCTCCCAGGCAGAAAAGTCAAAGCCCACCAAAATCCCTATCAGCTTTCTCGAACTTTCCACACCAAGTGCCGCCCAGTAACCACGGCCAGCATTCTCCGGCCCTCCCGCCTCTGTCTGCCAGCACAAGAACTGTTCCCAATATAACCCTAATATAATCCCAATATAACCCCAATATAAACCTAATATAACCCCAATATAACCCCCTATAGCTTTTCTTTTTGATGGCTTGAGGCAACTGGGGAGCTCACGGCTTTTGGGTTTGGGCATGGGCGATTCACCGACTGCCCCATGACGAACCTACCCTCTCCTAAAAGATGTCCATCAGCACTTCCATCAGTTCGGAATCATATGCGGGAGAACGTGGGAAGGGGGATGAAGGAACTATACCGCTGTAACCTCTCCGCCTTTGCCCACACCCTGAAGTCTCTACACTTTCTCTAGATTCTCCCTTGCCGATGTTGACAAACCCCGTGGTGGTCCCCGTGCCTCGCCAGCTCTCCGAAGAAGATGGCGCTGCCCCCAAGGCCAAGGCCGAATTCTGCAAGCTCACCAGGAACTCCTGGAGCTTCCAAAGACTGTATGTGGGGAGGTTTTCTTGAAAGACCATGCAACCGTGCACATCCCCATTGCGGCGAAGATGTTGGGTGATGATATGATATCATGTGGGACAAAGACGGTCTGACCGGTGGGGCTTGACAGGTTTAATGAACCTTTGGCCCGGGACTCAGTGTTTGGTAAGCACAGGTCCCTGGAGGGAACTGCCATGATTGAACTGGAAGGAAGGATGCCGCATGCTCGGACGGACTAAGCGCCCGGGAACTGGCCGCGAAGTAGTGTTGTTTTCTACGGCCCTGGTGGTGCAGCAGCATCAGGTACAATTGTTGGCCAAAGCGAGCCTGCTCCTTGTTGCTCCGAGCAGCACTTGGTAAGGGTGCTGCACAGTGTAGCAATGTGGCGTCTTTGATCTTTTCAGATGGATGACATACACTCAAAACAGTCCGCGAAAAGGAATACCGCCTTCCAAATTCGCACACTTCATCTAGGTCCTGCCAAAAACGCTTTCTGCAGGACCTCGAAGTAAATCAGGTGACCCCAAGGCCACGGGGGCATGGCCGCCTTGAGATCAGCGCTTTCTACCAATTCTAATGGCAATGATGTTGGCATGGATTCTGATCCTCAGAATGTTGCAGGTGGGTCTTAGTGCTAGTATGTAACCAGTAGAAAGCAGGTGCGCGTTCCATAACCTTCGCAACTCTTGAACGCAGAAGGAGGGGAGCAATAGCAGCAGTCATGGGCCGTGGTCTTCAAATAACGATGAAGGGAATAATTAATCCGTAGTTCAGCAGATTAACAACAACAATCGCAAATGGTGCGCGTGCTAGCACCACCGCCGCCGGCACTAGTACCAGCAGCAGCAGCAGCAGCGGCAGCAGCGGCAGCAGCGGCAGCAGCGGCAGCGGCGGCAGCGGCAGCGGCAACAGCGGCAGCGGCAACAGCAGCTGCAACAGCAGCAGCAGCAGCAGCAGCAGCAGCAGCAGCAGCAGCAGCAACGGAAACAACAACAACAACAACAACAACAACAGGAACAAGAAGAAGAAATACAACAACAATTACCAAAAATTCAATAACATTCTGCTGCTACTGCTGCTACCTCCAGTACAATTAGATTCAAAAGATTGTTGTTCCCTTCTGGTACTGTTACCATCACCACTGCCACGGCCACGATGACAACGACGATGACAACGACGATGACGACGAGATGACGACGACGATAGCAACGATGCAGACGACAACTCCTGCCAGACTGAACACCAAAAGCATAACAAGCATAAGAATACCAGCGTATAGTACAAGATGTGTTGCGAAGTTGCAACCACGAAGACATGACGAGCAAAATTCTATCAAAGCCGCCAGCGTCGAGATATCCAGCAGGATCTGGTCCAGCTCAGCCTTCCAAGGGCCCCCACAGCAAGACAACAAGTGGCTTGACGTTTAATGACATTGTCGCGAAAGTGCATCATGATGACTGTTCTCACTCAGCTTTCACAGCACCATTCAAGCATTCAGGCAAGTGTAGCATGGAAAATGTGTGCAACCATTGCTATCCATTGCTGTCAGAAAGCAAACGTAAAGTATGGAAACCGCTTACGCAGGATAACTAAATGAGACTGTGGCCCTGCGGGCAATATGCCTTAAACAACTCCTGGCGTTGACCCAGGTCTGGACTGCGTTCACACAATTACGGTATCTTATGTTCTCAAGTTTCCACAAGCCCCGTCCAAGCATTTTTGCATCCACGCAACGGGAATGTGTGGTAGGATCTGAGTGTACAGCTGCCGCCTGGTGGGAGCAAGCCTACAGTAAGCAAAGCTCAGGACAGAATCTCAGAGTACCATTGCGCCTTGAAACAACCCTTTCTATGCCGGGAGCAAAGGGCTTTTTCTTAGTGCTGCAAGGGCTGAACTTGGCTTTGGCTCAGTTTAGCTCTTTGTCAAGGTGAGAAGCCTGTTGTTGCCCTTAGAACAAGATCCTTGATAACATGGCCGGCCAACAAAAAAATACATGCAGCAATGTGATGGTGAGCTGAACAGCGAGGAGAGCGCGCCTGTTCTGCGGCCAGAAGATGTCCAGGGGGAAGTAGGAATGCCTGCAAGCCAACAGATTTACATCTCGAGAATGATTCTATTTCCTGCTCTGGAGAGCCTCAAGCCTAGTCCTTTCGAGCCCTGTCTCCGAGCAAATAATTACCGCTACCAGTGGCTGCTGAACCGCTAATGTCCTTCGCTTTCGTTCCATGCCCGCCCTGGGCCGGCCCCAGTGCAGTCGAGCAGCTGCCCGTGCAAGCGTTCTTTGTGCAGCCCATGTATCACCATTGGCATCAGGCAGGCGCATGTCCGCAGCATGGCTCGAGCGACAGAACCAAAGTGAGAGGCATTGACTTTGATCCAGGCATGAATGTTTTGTCCGGCTGTAGCTGAGACACCCCTGCAGCTGGGGACTCCCTTCAAACTCCGCGGGCTGCTCTTCAACGGGTGTCAACCTTCATCTGCTGCTTCCATCACTTCAAACTTGCTATGTCAGAGGCTTGGTCTAGCTACAAAGATACTGCTTGTGTTTCTGAGGGGGTTGGTGGATGACCACACTGAGGCTCAGAACACAAAGATTCAACTCTGCAGAGAACAGAGGCTGCATGTGCTCCTGAGCCCCCAGCGTTGCGGCCACATATTTGCAAGCGCATGATGAGCAATTGCCACGCACACATCTGCTCACCGACGCAAAAAAAACCAACGAGCAGCCCAATCCACGGCCGCAAGCTTTGTTTGCTGTTGTACGCGGAGGGTGGGTTCAAGGGCATACGGAAATGTTGTAACCACAATCAAGCATCGCGACAAAGCTTTCACGTCACGACACCCATTGCGGCCTGCATGCAATGCCAGGGACAGCAAAG